CATATGGCAGTACAATGGCATTAGCAAATTTTCTGAAATTAAATTTATATGTGTACTTGAGATTTACACTGATATTTAATGATTGTCAGCTGAAGATTGGAGGCGACCTGCGGTGTATGCATCATATTGGTGTTGACTTGTGCAGACTGTATATATAGTATAGATATGTTGGTGATACTATATGATATTAGGAAAACAATTCGGTTTAAGAACCTCTAGAACAATATTATTTTCTCTCTAGGGATTGTGAACATGTGTAGGCAGGTATCACGATCAGAAATTACATATGGCAGTACAATTGTATTAGCAAATTTTTTTAAATTAAATTTATATGTGTACTTGAGATTTACACTGATATTTAATGATTGTTAGCTGAAGATTTGAGGCGACTTGCGGTGCATGCATCATATAGTAAGTGTAGACCAAGTCATGGGATCTGGTGCTAGGTGTTGACTTGACGTGTGCAGAGTATGTCTAGCAATGGAATGTTGCCTTGCATTTAGGTAAGAATAAATTGTTTCAATGGTCACTCGTAAGATTGTAATTATTTGGTGCTCTGATGAACTGTTAATTCCCATCTCTCACACTGTTTATCGCATTGCGTGTGTGTTTTTGTTGTTGTTTTGCGAGCGTGCGTATATGTGTGTCGAGTATACAACAGTAGAACTTTATTTATCATGGTTTACATTCAATCCTTGATCATGCACTGTCAGTGCAATAATCACAATTGCTCTCCGAGTCTCGTGCATGCAATCATCGTCGTCGTCAAATGCATTAAAGGGGTGATGGAAGCCTTGTGATTATTCAGTTCTGTAGATATAAAATACAATGTATATATATATACGTATATGTGTGTGCGTGCGTGCGTGCGTGCGTGTGTGCGTGCGTGTTCTTAAATGTGAAAAAGTAAAGTTAAAGAAGGAAGAAAGGAAGAAAGGAACACATGTGTACAGTTTATGTTCACAACATTCAAATAAAACCGTTCTACGTACACAAATATTCTGCTCTCAAATATATTATTTTATAGATTATTATAGCGAAGACTACACCTAAACCATATACGAAAGTAAATTGATTTCTTCGTTTGCCATATTTACGCATATTTCCTGAGAGGGAAACCAAAAGCGACTACGACACAAATCCATGTACCGGTATTTAACGAGTATTGTTTTGATTAAACATTGTTAAACGGCTGTATATACATATCCTCGCAATATTCTACACACTGCACTGTTCTATCCATCACTTCTAATTTGTGAAGTAAGAAATGCACGGGGAAATCTGTTTCGTTTAATAAGTAAACGTTCCGAGTTAAAATCTATGCAAGGCAATGATCGTTTTTAAAATAATTAATAAATAAAACATTAATCGTCATTAAATGAAAATATAACACACGCATATCTGATCTGAAGAGATCAGCGGGGATGGTAGAACTAAGATTAACATATTTGCCCTTTCAGAGATATCAAGCGAGATGTATAATTCTATGCGTACACTGACAAGCATGAAATCAGGAAAATATATAGACGAATAAGAGGAACTAGAGAACTAGGAAGAAAGGCAGAGAAGGCGGAAATGGCAACTTGTTAGAGACAGGTGTGATGGCAACCACAAAAGCAACCGCCACAAACTGCACGATGTACAATATATTATAGCATATAACAATAAAAGTACATATGTAGTCTATAGCATTTAATTTTTGGTAACACTAATCTTGAGAAATAGAGGTCGCTAGTAGCTAGTATAACGCGAAGCTATATATACCAGCTAACCACTGCAGCTGACTGGTCTTTTTCCCGCCAATTCACCGGATGCGCTTCGTTTGTAAGTACAAATACGCGTGCTACGTCAATTCTGTTAGATTTTACAATTTATATATAGCTAGGAAATAAAATACAACTCTCTATTCTTTCTTTGTAAACGCTTGTTCTATTAAGATTGTACAATNGAATTTAAACGAATCGTGCAATTTTTGTATTGAATAAACCCGAATGTCAAATAATTTGCAAACAAAATATTTTTTTTCATTAATGAAAGTTCATTCATTGCAAAGAGAACAATTACAAGACTGCAGTAACAATCATTGCAATTAATTGCGTGATAGAAAACTGTATAAACAAAGTTATAATTGATTGGTTCTGTCCAAATCGCTGGCATCTGAACACTGTTAATATGGTCACTACTTCCTCAAAAATTCAGAATCTCGGAAGAAATTTCATGAAAGGAACAATAAAAATGGGATAAGTGTATTTATTTAATATAAACAAGCTAATAGCAGGTACACATAAGCTACACGTCAGCATGTAGATACCTATCAAATCAAGAGTTAATAATACATTGTATTACATTGTGTACATTGTATAATGTATGTATTAATAGCTCTTCATACAATGTCTATACCAGCATGCACATATATACAGCATACATTCGCTCAGGAGTGAATCAAAACCTGTTTGAAAACAATTTTTATTCACTCCCGGTGAAATATACAGTGAAACCCCGATTTAACGCGAATTCGGATATAACACGATGAGTCATTGTACCTTTTTTGCTCTTTCTGCAACTGAAAGGTTTTTTGGTGAGTTAAGCCGGCCTTGGGTCAAATGGGCATTGGCCTATAGATCGCGCAACTAAATGGCTATCGACCGTTGGCTGGAAACCCAGGAGGTGGACCACGTAAAAATCCTCCAACTCGGAAACATTCTAGATTTCGCTCGCAGCCAGCGCGAAGCATTCGCTACCTCTTTTACGCCCATTTTGAGTATAATCATCACGGTGGAAGAAACTATAGAAGAAGAATCTCAAAAGATAGCGTTGATGGTTCATCGCAATGAAAACGCGTGTAAAAGGAAAAGGCATCTTCGCATATTTTGAAGCAGTGTCGTATACTTTTACAGTCACTATCCGTCAAAATACGCACGCGATAAGAACCGTGCAAAATATGCACGTGATGACAGATGACAATGTTCAACTGCCAAGCGCATTAAACTCTGAATCACCCTTGCGAAAATATTTCTCTGACGTTTCGGGAGTGCTCGTGTCTTTCTATCTGCACTCTGAGTTTCCTGTATTGTTTTCTTGTTTATCTTTCTTGAAAGTGTGTACGTCACCGTAAAAAGTAAAAGTAAAAAAAATCATGTCAATTTTTTCACAAAATGTAAGTGATTCTGTTCACTTTTTTATGGTTGAATTGCTGCATTATACTTCCTATTTTGCTGTTCCGTTCGATGTGAACAAGCACTCGTGACACATACATAGCTAATAACAAGCATTTAATGTCGTGATAAATATTTCAGATCGCCCAGATTTTTTTGGATTTTTAACTAGTTAAAAAACAAATTGTTCTACTAGAACAGAATTGTCGTAGTCAGAATGAAGGCGGTATATGTACTCAAAAGTGCCTCAAATACCATCTCCTGCGATCTACATTTTCAAAATTTTCCGGGGGAGGATCCCCACACCCCCACCTATTTCTCACCCCTCCTGGAAATCGTCGATCTGGCACTGCACCCCCCGCTAAGCATTTGCTCATAGTCTAGTTGCGGGCCGTATCCTTCCAATAGTGAACCAAGAAATTTTTAATAGTTCAAGGTTTTTTTATTGATATGTATTCATATCCATGTCTGGAAGATTTTTAGCTTTGTTGGCACAACGCCAACTTTGGGGAACATTTTTAATTAGCTAATTTGCATAATTAACATGGCCAAATAC